AATATTTTATACAATAAGACCTTGTTGCACTTTGAACGAGGGTGAAAATGGTAGGAGTGGATTTGGCGAACATAATGCGATTACGTGCGAACATAGGGTGGATTAAATGTGACTTAAAAATGAATTAAGTAATTTACACGTTGCTACGCTTATTTGTAAACGATATGTAACCTTTTTTTTTACCAATATCAATATAAAAAAAATAAAAATAAAAAAAGAAACATATCTAAATAATATTTAACATTATCTAATCTTTTCAAAACAATATACATAAATCTTAACAAAATTAATTATTAAATTTTATTGAAAATATAACAAATTTCTAACCTCAATTTTAAAAATAAAATTAAAAACAACGAACAAATGTAATGAAATGAACAAAATATTCACTATAAGTCAATGAACAAAAATATTTACTTATATATGATTGTGTATCTTTTTTTATTAATTTTTTTAATATTTTTATTTAATATTATAATTTTTTATTAATTATAATTGTAATTGTATAAAAATAACACTACAATAATTTCTCTAAATAATACGAATCTCAAATAAAATTAACCTGTTAACCAACTCAATAAACTCTACAATTATTTTTCTTATTATTATTCTATTAAAAAAAAAAAAAGGAAAGAACAAACAAACATAACCTGTTTATTATATTATATAAAATTATATTATATATTATTATATGCAATTATAATATATAAAAATAATAATCCAAAATAAATTCATCAAACACCAACTAAAAAATGTTGTCGTCAACAAGTCAACACATAACCTTAAATTTTCCAAAAAAATAAAAAAGAAAACGTTTAAGAGATCCAAAAAAAAATCATCTAATTAAAACCTTGATAAGATGACGTAGAAAAAAAAGATATATTTCTCATATAACCTGATCGATGGATCACCAAGGATCTTTCTAATACGATTTAAACGTCACCCTAACAGGATAAGAGAATACTCGGTTTCTCCAAGCAGGGTTATGATCAAACGGTACGTGATGTGCATATACATATACACGTACACACATACACATTTATATATATATACAATATATAACAAGAGGGGTGCAACAATTAATCTAGAGCTCTGACTTTTGGACTCTTTTTCTTTCTCTTTTCCACTGTAACACGTGGGATCGGATCTAAAAGGGAGTCGATCTTTGCCAAAAAGGGAGGGTGAAAAGGGAGGGTGGTAGTAGTTTGAAAAAGGGGCAGGGGTGGGGAGGGGGGTCCAGCTGCCATCGTTGTGGCACCGGCTGCGCTTATAATATCAGGGCTCGTGGCTTTTGGGGAGATTCAAGATGACGACGAAGACGAGGACAAGGACAAGGATGAAATCTACGAAAGCTAAGAACACGACGAGGAAAATGGTGACGACGACTGCTTTTCTTAACGTAACACCGTTTACTATAGTATTTTATACTATACCCAACCTATAAGGTCGAGAGACCCCCTAAAAGCGTCAGCTTGCACGCAGTCTGCTGAAGAAAAAGCTGATGCTGATCTTGCCATTTTCTTTTTTTCTTCTTTTTCTCTTCCTCATTGGTTTTTATATTTCCTTTTGTTTTTTTTTTCTTCTTTTTCCTTTGGCTTTGATTCACTGTGTGTTTCATAATATAGATATGTGCATGTAGAAAAGAAAATGTCTTCCCATGAAAAATTCTTTGAAAAATCAAATATTCGAATATTCTTCATCTAAAAGGGATGCAAAATTATTATGAAGGAATTTTTTTTTTGAGTTTTTTCTTATATATAATGCAAAATGACATTTGATAATATCAATGTGTTGATAAATATAATAATAATGATAATAATAGTATATCGGTAATATAGACGATTACGTAAAGAAGACAATGATCACATCGTTTGTTTATTTTGAAATTTACGATTTTCAGCCTAGATTTACATAAAATAGAATTAATTGATATAACGTTTGCTTATAACATATATATGTATATATATATATATATAGATATATATATACTTTGTATCATACCAAAACGAGTATCGGGATGAGTCAAGTGTTTTTTCACGTTACAAGTCTATTAATGAATATCAAATTTTCTTTGATATTTAATTTATTAATATTTATCAATATATATATATATATATATATATATATATAGATATAGATTATTATTTAAAATATTTTCAACTTGTAACGTTTGTATCGATGATTCACCCTGTATATTGCACGAATTATTACAATTCTTGAGCATATTTCTTTCATTCTCTCTCTCTCACTTTCTTTCTTTCCTTCTTACATATAAATTTAAAATGTTTAAATATTACATAAATTCATCCACGAATCTCGTGTTTAATCTTTGTTTGAAAAAACATTGGAAAAATATCTTCTTTTTTTTTTTTATCAAGATTTTCCTTTTGAATTTCTACGACAAGTCGTGGTTCATTAAAGTTTTTTCGATTATTAATGATCAATTATAAATATAGGCCACTTTGTTGTTATTAAATCGTAAATTCTGATAAATGAAAATTGAAAAAAGGCCATAGACAATTTGTACTTTTCAAACCACAATATATATATATATATACATAATATATATAATATATGTTTATATTTATGTATTTTAAGATATCTAATTTGATATCAATTCGTTAACGATCAACTTTAATGAATCTCAACCTGTACGGAAACACATTTTACGTAAATGCATTTTTTCAATAATAATTATAATAATTATAATAATTATAATAATAATAATAATTATAATAATAATAATAATGACAATTCGCGTCGTCCGGTTTGAAATGTTGGATAAATAACAATAATAAACTAAGGATATTAATATACAGAGTAAAATCGAAAAAATAATATAATTATTTAATATTTATAGAATATAGAATATATATATA